TAGTAAACTCACCGACTACAATTTCCCAAAAACACAGCATACGTAGCCGCTCCAAGTAGGGGCTTGTCGCTGGAAAACCTGGATAAAAGACGCCGACGTCTCCTCTGATGATGAGCGCTAGTGTCGCRGTATCAATATGCTATGTGTTTACATCCATTGCCGCCATGTTTGTAATGACTTATCGCGAGAACAAACGCATTCACGTGTGACTTTTAATAGCATTTCTTACTTAATGGAAACACCGCAGTTGCGAAACTGTGTTTTTCGACATTAAAAGAATATTGACAAAATTTTGCGCACATTTGCAATGGAAACGCAGCTACAGACACTAAGTTCTCATAACATACGTAAAAATGACATTTTTTCTATATATTTTTCCTCACTATTCTCCTGTTTTTCTACTTGCAACCTCTGTTTCTACAGCTTACACAATATAAGTTCACTTGCAATATTTTAGTGTTTCGAAGCAAACTCAGCTTCTCTCAAATTTTGATCCATCACACATTTATTTCTTGTATTTAATGAAGTCTTCACTGCTCTTCCCCTTTCGTGCCTTGATACCACCTCTACATCATAATCGCTGGATTTTTCTCTTTCTTCTTTGTGTTTGGTGTTTGTATGATCCCACCCAGATCCACTGGCTCATTTGAACTGGTATGATGAGGTTTGTTTGTGTGGCTGACATCATTCCCTGAAGGGTTAACAAGGGTTACGCGCCATCGACCCGCCGTTCACACCACAACAAAGGCCTCACTGCCATACCCAAGCACAGAGGGAAGGGAGGAGTGTTCAAATTTGAAGAAATTTTTCGAATAAAAGCTGACGCTATTATGATGAATATTCAACAGACGGACACTGATTGTGTCTGTTCACAAAAAGAATGTATCTGATTGAAAATCAAAGCATAAAACCCCTAAATGAGCTTTATTGTACCTTTAAATTAAAATGACACTAAGGGTTGAAAGCTGTAATAAGGAAGGAATGTTTTTCTTTTCCCCCGCTACCATTTATACTAATCCACTCAATGTTCTAAACTTTCTGTAAAGAGAACAAAACATGAGAACAAAACACTGTTAGAAGTAGGGTTCCTTCAGATAAGAGCTAAGTTAAAAGCCACTATATAGGAGTAAACTATTTACCTTTTACAAATTCAAAACTGACATCACTTACGTGGCCTTTCCCTCCCGGAGGAAGATGCAGGAGAGGGAGAACTGCAGCGTAGCTGACACCACCTTCTTTGACAGGGGCTTAAACTTGAGTTTGACATCTGTCTGAGTGGGCATTGGACTGGCGTATTGCTTCATGTTTATGCTGCTGGTGGCTAAGGCCTTCCTCCGTCCTGACGGAGACTCCTGCAGACAGAGAAGGTTCAACATGGTGTTACATTTATGAGGACAGTCTCAGGTGAATGTGGTTGATGTTCATTGGTAAAGCCTGAAGCCTAAGTTCTTATGTACCTTATTCCAAACTCCACTATAAAATCTCCCTAGATATTTCCAAATAAAGAATGCAGATGTTTTTTTTCCCTGTGCTTCTTTTTAAATATCTGCTCTGAGGCAAGGAGATGGCAGCCACATTTGAACTGAAGAATATGCCACAGAGTAGGTAATAAGAGTTGTAGAATCAGTGACATTGGCSTCTTTGTTTTTTTGTGTGTATGCATCCAAAACTGCTMACCAAAAGACTGTGTGTTAAGAATAAGACCTGCAGAAAACTCTGGTCACTTACTGCTAGAAATGAAAACTGAACAGCTGGGGATGTTCCAGCTTTTTTACTGTCTTCCTTCCAACAAAAAACGATGGGTTTTTGTCTGTTGCAGGTCTGGCTGTGAAAGCACCATGCTGTCAGTGAATATCAGGCTGGTTCACCACCTTGCTGTGCTGATATACCCCCGACAAATAATGCATGTTGTTTCTGGTTTGCCTCCTTCCTTTAAATTCTGTGATGGGGAAACTGCAATGTTTTTTTTTATGAAAACCCAACGTGATGATCACACACACACTGATGCACACATGTTCATTTACAAAACATGTAAAAAAGAATCAGCAGGCAGTTGAACAGCAAAATGTTTGAATTTAGATGTTCTCCCCGTTTTGGCATCTATTTTATTGTGTGAATGTCTAAAAAGTGGTATWCACACCAACGCACACACACTGCTGGTTTTATACCATAAATACGTCTTGTCTCAGCTGTGGATCGAGCCCTGAGGATTCATCCTCTCATGTGCACAATACCGAACAAAGCAAAGCGGCTAGCTCTTTTTCCACACTACAGCAGTTTGAGAGCACATATACATCTACACATACACTCGTCCGTGTATGCCAGATAAACCGATAAAGCTCTTTACATTGCCTGTTTCCTGATGCCTTCACACCCAAAAACATACACTCACCTCTAACGTTTCGGCTCTGTGGGGAAAAACTCAATCTCAGCTTTATCACCAAGGACTGCAGGTTCTTAAACCATAGGCAAACACTACACAGAATCTGTACCAGTAGAGACTAGTAAAGATAATATAGTAACACCATTCAAGTTTAATATAGTGGCCTAGATTCTAATAACTTTGACATTTTAAAGGCCATTGTTATGTGTGCCACTTTGAAGGTTTGAATACACTCAATTTACTGTAGTTTCAATAAAAAAGTGATACACTTTGAAGTGGAAGAAGTCAATTTTGTTTCTGGAATCACTGAATRTTTGAACAAATTATATACAAAACATATGCCAGACAAAACATAATTTAACAAACCCATGAAAATAATGATTGCTAATGATGACTGTTGACTGACCTCTATAGTTAAAACATCTTTTTTCACTTTTTGATTTTTTTTAAGAAAGAAAGCGAAGCCTGCCATCATAYGCATCAATTAAATAACAAAAGCAACACAGGTTGGTACTATATTAATTTTTTTATTAAACTGATCAGACTGACTTAATTAGAACCAGAACTTTACTTTTTAACAGTTTTTTCAAAACTTGGATTATGGTAAAATGGTAAATGGACTGTACTTATATAGCGCCTTTCTATCCATCCAGGACACTCAAAGCGCTTCACACTACACACATTCACCCATGCACACACACATTCACACACTGATGATGGCAAACTACAATTGTAGCCACAGCTGCCCTGGGGCGCACTGACAGAGGCGAGGCTGCCATACACAGGCGCCACCGGACCCTCTGACCACCATCAGTAGGCAAGGCGGGTAAGGTGTCTTGCCCAAGGACACAACGACTGAGTCGACTGGACGAGGATCGAACCAGTGACCTTCCGGTTCCAGGACGACTCCCCTAACCACTCTACCACAGCCGCCCCATTATGGCAAATTCAAAGTCTGGAAAATCATAAAGAACAAAAGAATTAAAGTTAAAAAAAAAAAAAACAGAATTTCTTATCTTTGTAGACCTTGACTGAGTGAAGAGGAAAGCTATTCATAATACCAAAAAGTCTCAAGTTGTATTTAGGCTCAATCAACGAGACCCACACAGTGATTATAGAAGCATCACTGAYCTGTGTCCAGATGTGTGTTCAGAATAGCTCATTCCAAACCTTTTGAGGAACTTTTCTATGGAAGTGGTAGCAAACACCAGCAACAACTTTACTAACTTGTCCAACCATCTGTTTCAATGTTTTTTAATCTTCTATCTTTTGCAGACATTCAACAATCCATCTCTTCTAACCTTCTACACATCTTCCTCTTCTGTCTTCAGGCTCAAACCAATAATTAAATAAAAAGGAAGAAACTAGCAGGGCCACTTGACATTTTGTGCTGACATTTGAGTCTTGTCGCTTTGGTTTGAGAACATAATGTTGTATCACTTCAATGCCGTCAACCCCCGACTGTCCAAAGAACCAGCCCATAAGAAGAGGGGGATGAYGAGAGGAGAGAAAAAACTCTCCTTTCACCTCTTATCTTTCTGCAGATTACACCCTTGCTATTATACTAAGCTAATGGCGCATGTAGATACTTTATGAATGAATTTGCTAAATGCACCAAACACTTTGGAAGAGGGGATTTAGCAAAAAGCAGGTTAGGGAGAGAAAGGGAGGGGGTTTCAGAAATAGGAAATACTTAAGGATATGCAAATACTCTGGCGAAAGAATGGAATAACCGTTTCAACAGATTTGAGTAGTGGCGGCAAACAATGGAAATCTTCTCTATTTCCCCGGATGCTACTTGTCAATCACTGTGTGTGTTTGAGAGAAGGTGTGGGAAGCAGCTCGGATTAGAGCGACTTGGAGGATGTGACAATGTGCAAAATGAAAAGAGAAGGACAATACAGAAGTTTAATTTATTACAGAGCGGCTAGGACTATCAATATGCTCTTTTTTTTTAGCCTAGAGAATGACTAGATACGTGAGAGTGTATGTGGAGCAGCCACAGAGAAGAAGAAAGACAGGAAGAGAGGGCAGACTGAAAATTGGGAGGGGGGACGGCTGTATGCTGCCCCCTAGTTGCAACTGTTCAAAACTACAGTAAGGTCAAGGTACAGATCCGCCTTGTCATTTTGATCCATGCTCACAGAAATAGCTAATTATGTTGTAAAAGCAAAAATAACCAAACTTCAACCCTCTTTAGTCACTGTGCAATATCCCCTTTTGTTCATAAATGACTTCCATCTCCAGAGGCATGTGTTTGTGTTGAAGTAGTGTGTCTTAGGGTATCAGTTCTGCCTCTTTCCCCTGATGCCAGCTGGCCCTGAATCGATCCACAGATGCTCCCTTGGTGGGGGGGCAGGGGTCAGGGCAGGAGGGTGCCCGGGGGTCCTGCTGAATCCCTCTGCCTTAAAATGCCAATGGGACGGGCCGTAAAAGGAGGTGTAGGGACCCTTTTGTCACTTAGAGATGGATTAATTAGGGTGAGTGCTAAAARATGTTAAGATGTGGTCTAAGATGCACACACTGACAGTTGGGCAGTGTTCGCCTACAATGAATAAAATGAGTAGGTAACACCACCAGTCACTTCATTTCTAATCAAGAGATCTTAAATTGTCAAACAACTACATTCTTAAGCGTAATTAGAAAGACCTATTATGTCACATCTCCTTGTTCATAGTAGKCATTGTGCAACAGATATATTTTTTTAAATAAGTGAACTGAGTGTGGCGATGTGTTGTTTAATATGTTGTTGACAGAGACAGAAGATTAAAACATAGCACTGGTATTACAAAGATGATAAGTGATGAATCACTGGTTTCACAGCAAGCAGATGATTATCTGACTTAAGCCTGCCATCATAAAACAAAACACAGCCAAACAGAAGAAGGGACAAGATGAGGTCAACCACGCTCGAAAGAGACTTTATTCAGGCAGAAAAGTTAAGAACATATACTGCTCACATTTATGGGAAGAAGTATATAAGTGAGAGACAAATAAGAAATCACAAGTGTTTTGCGTGATGTTCAAAATGTTTTTTATTTTTCTTTACCTGATTCTCCTTTGCTGGTCATGGGAAGCTGGTACCCATCTCCAACAGTCACTGTGCAAGAGGAGGACACCCTGGACGAATCCCAARTCCATAACAGGGACACATGGAGACTAACAACCACTCTCACCAACACCTAGGGTCAATTTAAAGTTACCAATTTAACTAATAATTTGCAAGTTTTTTGGTCTGTGAGAGGAAACCAGAATACCTGGAGACCCACACATGCACAGAGAGAAGATGCAAACTCTAACCTCAAAAGCTCCAACCCAGAAGACGATCTTGTGAACTTACTGAGAGGCAACAGCTCTAACCACTGCTGTGCTGCCTACAACTTCTAATTTTACACCACCAAAAAAACTGCACATATGACTTTGTAATTTATATTTAGAAGGTTCAAAGCCAAACTCAATTTACCCTTTAGAATAATCCAGAGCAAGTACCAGTTACCCTTCCACCTAGACACCAAAAAATCAGCTGGCTTCATCTGAATTCAACAGTCAGCAGATTGGAGGTGTTATTCTTGCCTCAAGGTCGCAGTTATTGGAAATGGAGACATCCAATGTGCTCACATCTCTCTTTGAATCCACACACAATGGAGCGATTCCTGTGTCAATTTGGCCTCCCCTGATAACTGATAAGGCAGCCCTTTTTACATACCATCTATGAATGCCTCACTAGGCATTATAGACACATATRCACATGCACAAAGATTAAGACCAATTTATTCATCTGCTACTATTATATGTAGGGATTTATCCCCCTCCCTCAAGCAATGTGTTAGTGAATTTTAAAAGCAACAATGACATAAAAAGGCATGCAACATTATCACTTTGGCTATTTGAATTACAATAACAATAGCTTTAATAATAGAATGAACTGTGCAAAATGCTTTCATGTATCAATGTGTTCATAGACGCACA